GGGATTGACTGTCACTTTATAACGCCCCCACGGCTGAAAGGGCGAGCATGTTTGGTGTGACGGGGATTCGAACCAGCGACCATTAGGATTGCGAGTCGAGTGCCTTAACCACCTGGCCATGCCGGGCCTCATTAGAGGGATGGTTGGAGCAACACCTGCATAAGAATATCTGATATAATCTTCAACAGGATTATGACATAAAAAAGCTAGGGAACATCTATGCTGAGCTGCCAAGAGTAAATGTACACAAGGATAAAAAACCCACTCCGAAAAAAGTCCTAAAGATTACATTATATAAGCATAAAATACCATTTTCTACCTCCTTATTTTGATGTACTATCATTTAAAATTTGTCAGTTATTCCGGTATGTGTAGTTTCACGGAAAATGTGGTCAAAATAGTTTTTAAGTTGCTTTCATTTCCTTGAGATAACACCTGTTTTATCATGTGTGATATAGCTGTAATGTTCTACTTTGTGAAAAAATATAGGTACCATTATCGTTCAACAACAGGTCGGGCAATATATTGAGGTGAAAAATGTATATTTGATTAGCTACACTGATAGCCTGGTTGATTTTTAGTTTTGCTTACTTTGATCCAAACTTATAATTATTTAAAACCTTGCTAAATTTTGAATGACAGTAACCTCTCACATGGGTAGCTCAAGTTGCTCTAGGTAAACCCAACATTACCTGTTAAGCAAGGAATATTTAACAATCTGGTATATGATCAAGGAAGACAGTCAGTTAGCTGATTCATGTAAAAGCAATCATCCTTTTTCAACCAAGCAAGTACAAACACACTGCATTTGTGTTATAAATATTACTCATTTGTATTTTAAATTGTGTACAGCCTCATTATTTCATTCTCATGTACTCAATTATTCTGAAAAATTAGAACTACTCTATAGGAGATATCTTTTCAAATCTCCTGTTATTCAGTGGACCTATCCTATCACTCAAAAAAAAAAAAATCAATTTGATCTGAATATATAACTGTGGCTGTGTTTGCAATGAAACAGTTGGTCCCAATGAATTTGTCATATCTGGCTGGTTGACTAGTAGCCCAGGATCTACTGATGAAGCCACCAACTGCAGTGGAAACATCACTGTCACTTTTAAATTATAAAATAAATGACAAGCTGGCAGATTATTCTCCAGGGTGAAGACTGTCATCAAGATAAGGAGAAAAGTGATTACAGGGTAGCATCAGATTTCTGATGATTGGAGAGACTTCATCAACTACCAATGGGAACTCACTCAGGAAATGTAGGTAATCCACCAAATGACATCAGAATGAAAGAAATGCACTAAAGCCTTGAGTGTCATGCTGAAGACTCTCAGGTATACAGACTGGCCAGTACTCCTGTCTGTGAAAACGTATATTTTAATGTATATTACACAGTTCACTTTCTTTTTTTGTAGCTGTTATATATGCATGTATATATACTCACATACAAACACAAACAAGGGGATTATAAAGAAATTTTTCAGTTCATCATATCTGCAGAGGAGTGTCAATAGTATCAAGCAGATGCAAATATCACAGCTGCCACCAAAGATGCCACTGTGGCTTCTTTCACACATTTCCCAGGGATATAAATAGGACTGTCATTTGTACTACAGCTCATTCAACCAACTTGAAGCTGCCAGATGTGCAGAGAGGTGAACTAGTGAAATATTGTTACAAAAAAGCATGTAATGCCCAGGCAGCTATCGGGGAATACTATAGAGCGCACAACATCTGCAGAAGGCCGCCTTGTTCCACTGTTGATGCGCACAAGTTCATAAAAACAATCAAGGATACAGGTTATACTTATGATAAGCCATGTACAGGCAGACCACAGACACCTAATAAAACTATCACTGAGGTCCACCATGGCATAATTGAACAAGCCGGAATCTGGATTTGTGAAGTTATACTGTTCAGAAGGCTTTTAGGTCAATTTTATAAATGTATCCTTACAACATTGGTTCTCAAATTGGGGGTTGCAGTACATACACAATACTTTTAAACTACTCAGTACCTACAGATTCATTGGATGGAGGGCCTCAGTCAGATGCAAAATGTTCCTGGGGGGCCTTGTGCTGAGGAGGCTTGAGAATCCATGCTTTATAAGCTGCATCCCATTCAAGCACTGCAGGAGATGGATTTAGTTCAACATATTTATTTTACATTGCAGTTCATGTCAAATTGGAAGTCAGTGACCAATGACCGACCAATATCTTATGGGCTGATGAAACAAATTTCATCTTTCTTAGAAGTGTCAACACATGCAACTGCATTATTTGGCTGGAAAGTACTCTACATCTAACATTTTCTACACGTCTCCATGATGTTAATGTGACAGTTTCACAGCTGACCTTGTGACTGGACTGTACTTTTCTGAAAAACCTTTAGCACATGTTTTGCAAATCTGCACAGTCAATGAAATTCTCCCAACAAATGCAATTTCCATGCTACATCAAAGAAATGTGACAAACATTACAGTTGTTCACGTAAGATGGTGCCACTCAGCATATTTGCAACCAGGTGAAACATTCTTGTAGGAAAATTTTCAGAACAGAATTATTACTCATGACTTTCCTTGTGAACAGCTATCTAATTCACCAAATCTAAAATCAGGTAATTTTTGATTGTAAGTATTACCCAAAGTCTTGCACAATTCGATACATCAAAAACACAATTGTCTAGGAAGTTGTCAGCATACCAGATGAGATGCACATTGTTGCTGTAATGTCCATTTTTATATGGCTGCAATTCTTTCTGGATGCTGGAGGAGTACATTTTGAACAGCTGCTGTGACTGTTTAGACATTAGGTCATAGTGGCACCATCTGAAAACTGTGGAATTTGCATCCACATGATACCCTTAACACTTCTGTGCAATTTAACCATTCTATGGCATACCATTTGTGAAATATGGCACCCTAAACTGTGAAACTTTCTTTATAATCACCTTGAACCATATGGCAGAAATTCTAAGTTACCAATGATTTTTCCAGTTTATTTTATATCTACATTCAATAATATCAAGCTAAATATCTTACTTTTTGTTTTTTCTTTACACAAGAAGCACACACATTTTTAAAACCTACTGTTTTATTTCACTCTAAAATCTCTCCATAAAAACTCCAAGTTTTCCAGTGTTCTTATCTCCAAATTCATATGTCCATTTTGTTATCAGTTGCTAAAGAAACATACAACTTAACCTCACATCACTTTCCCAAACAATATTTAAATACCAAACCAGTTCCATCCTAAAGATTTCTTGCCATTAACAATTTCCTCAAATCTTTAGAGAAACTTGGTAAATAACTTAAATCTGTACAAAAATTGTAAACAAAGTACAAAATTTACAGACAACTGCTAGAAAAATCCACAGTCTGAAATCGACTAAAACCATAACCTATAAAACTGCTTGTAAAAATTACAAAATGTTCTACTTGTACTTGAACAGAACACTGTGAGCAAATAGTATTGTACAAAACAGCTTCATGATTATGGCCAACACACATTTAAAAATACACATAAAATGATAGCTTCTTATGATTGTTGAATATGCAAGTTTCTTAATTTAAATTGTGAGCTAACTAGATATTTCAGAATCAGTTCACAGTTAAAACTTGTCTATTTTCAAGTTTGAAACCACTGGTGCAAAATGATAATAGCTAAGTTATTAAAATCACACACTTCATAAAAATATATCACATGGTTCAAACTGCATTTGTCCCAAATAAAATTGAAAATTTAAATACTGACACTTAGATGATAAGCTTATAATAGCATAAAATAAAAAAAAATCATGTTAGTAACACAGTTTAGATGATTACGTTGACATCTCTCCTTCCTACCAAATGCTTAAAAATTATTATTTACATGATATGGTTACAATCGGGTAAATTACCATTTCTCGAATAATCACATTGAACTGGAAGTTTTCCTGAAAAAAATTAATTTTCTGAATACGATTTAAAAAATCTCTCTCTCTTACACTACAAGTTATTATTTTCATCTTTGAGAGTCTGTCCTTGCACTTTTTATTTCTAGTTTGGCAAGAACAAGTATCTGTGTACTATGATGGCAAAATAGAATGGTTACAGTGGAGCGAAAAACAGTGTCACATATATAAACAAAAATAAAATCATGGTTTGTTATTAAAATGAAAGACAAACACTCAGGACTTGCGAAATAGTAAATTGGTCAAATAATCCATAGAAAGTTTTAGAGAGAAATCCAGTGGATAAAGAGTTCTTAAAATTATTTCATGCCTGCCAATCCTTTATAGCTTTCCATAAAACCAACTCCATGCAGGCTCTAGCATCCTCAACACTGTCATGGCCAAAACCATTCTCTTGGATAGTTCTTTTCAAATAGCTTTTAATGAGAGATTTGAGAGATCGCTTGAATGGAAGACCATAGTAATGAGGAAAGAGGATGGAAGTATCAATCACAGTCTCATGGATAAGCTTCAAAGCTTTGAGGTCATTATCCAATCCATGACCAACAAGAATTGTCTTAGAGTTAAACATCTTCAGTAATACTGCTCGAACATCAGTCAAGGTAGTGTGGACATTCAGCATGTCATTAGCAGTGATACCACTGAAACGGGTATTATAATCTATAATGGGGTTTTCTGGTAACACCAGAGAGTCATACACCGTTAATCCATCAACTCCCACAACACTTACCTTGGTGACTTCTAGACCCTTGAGTGTAAAACACATCTCACAGTCTAGGGCATATATCCCATAGTGTCCCATTTTCTTGCCTTTGTTCTTCAATTTTGTTTTCAGAAAACCATCAACTGTATCATGGTTTTGAACACTGACATGGAATCTACTTTTGTTGCAGCCATAAGCAGCTAGTTGTCCTCCACAACACGAATAACTTACTTGTTTCACACCGCCATCAAAAGAGCTTTGTTTTTTACCAAAATGATATACACATTCTTCATTTGCCTGATACTCCCCATCTGTAGTGATATAAAATTTGGCACGACATCGGCAGCATGTTCGTTCCGTAGGGTCAACAACATCCTTCTTGAATGGAAGTGGAAAACCATTTGTGATGATCAACCTACCAGAATCATCTGGTAGGTTAACAGGAAAACCATTCCTTCTTTGTTCTTCCTTTGACAAAATATAAGAATACAATCGATGGTACAGTTCACTTTCGTCTACTTTAAGTTTCCTGTAAATCTGAAGTGGAGAGAGCAGTTTGTTATTCATGTATTTAGGCTGATGACTGATTTCATTTTCCCCTTTATTAGAAGGGTTACATTTGTGAGCATTCTTTAGAGCACTGCTATGCCGGGATTTTTTAGTTCTTGCACGTGTAAAGTTCTTCCTAGCTTTTTCTTTATGACACTTTTCCTGGTTCTCTGAATTCTGTCCACCTGTAAGAAAAACAAGAAAAAATTAAGAATCACTTTACAGATACCTAATAAAGAACAAATAAAACAACAGGATCATTATCTATATAACTTCTGGTTTTGGATCAAATGTTCGATTACTTTCTAAGAAATAGCAACCAATATGAAAAAGAAAAAAAAAAGACAATATATTTTAGTTTTTGTTAACATGAACTACAAACTTTAGTGACAAAAAAATATATTTGTAATACTTTTCAGAGAAAAAAAAAGTATTAAATAGTTATAACCACATTAATAATAAAGTCTTAATATATCAAAGAACACCTCAGCAGGCCATGATTGTTATAATGATGTTTTATCACACTTAAACTTGAATGTCTAATGGTGGATAACTCTCTGAACATATCCATTAATAGAGCTTTAAAATTACAAATAAGCAACCTGATGTTGCCTTTATGTTATTCAAAATACAAGAACATCTTCACATATACATACGAATAAATGACACTTCAAAAATTAATTTTTTTACATGTACCTCTAAATGTTAGTTGCTCTAAAATGGATACTTTTCATATACCAGCTATAAAAGTTTGAAATCTCACAGTTGTGGAACAGCAATATTGCTGATAATTTAAAAACTAAATACTAAATTTATTAATACTCTTTTATTGTAAAATTGTTTTTTGTAATCTTTAAAGAATACTTTAATACAAAAAATGCTAATTCTATCATTTTTAAAGCAACAAATACAACTTGGTCAGTATTTTTAAACAAAAAAAAGTAAAACTATGTTCATAACGATTTAGCATGAATGAACACTAAGATTATGATACAAAAAGTATTGTTATGTTTGAGTTTTAGTCTTACTACATTGTACAACTTAAAAACTGTTTATTTTGCTGAAGGAAACAAAATCATTTAGAGGATTAGTAACTATTGAAATAATTTGCTTAATAAACGATTAACATTAGGAGTTTTAATAAATTTCTACATTAATGTAGATAAGTTCCATAAACAATGTTATACACGATTCTGAAGTTTTAAAAGTTGCTATTCTTGAAAATCAGATTATTCTTTGAACTTTTTGCTATATATTTTTAATGAATAATATCATTAAATACAGATTTTTATATAGAAACAGATGACCCTAAAATTACTATTATCATATTTAGCAAAATTGTTGATTCATAATGAGACTGTGCTAAAAGCCTTCATATAAGAATAAATTTTATATGTCACACACACAGTTACTTCAAGAACACAAGAGCTTCATTAAAGAAGTCACATGTTGATCTCGATTTTTTTAAAAGCACATAACATCTAAAACCATTATATATAGACTATGTACCTTTCTAAAATATTCTAAGTTATGTAACAGGTGAGGAAAATACAGTACCTTCTTTGTATGAATCCAAATATTTTTCATTGCTATTTAATTTCACATCAAGAATGTTACCATTGTGGCTCTTGAGAGTCGAAAGCAGCCAAGGCTGAGTGTACTGGGCTTTCATGTTACTGTGTTTAGTAGATAAATTCTTCTTTTTCTTATTCCGATGGTTAGTTTTTGAAACTTTCTCTTCAATGTTACAATCTGAATCTGTCAAAAAAAGCTCAAGCTCATCAAAAATTTAAAAATTCACACTTAAGCTTTAAATCATTGAAAAAAATAACATATATGTCACAAATGAATAATCATCATCCTTTATTTATACTCATCCTTATTTCTTTAATGTTATGTAATTTTTAAGAGCCATAAAACTCATGTCTGTTTTTGATGTAAAAACACATTTAAGGGTTTCAGTTTACATCACTAAACTATAAAAATAACATTAGTTATAATTTCAAATTGCTACTTATTTGATAGTTGAAATAACAAGTACATATTTGCTGTAAACAAGGTGCACAACTGTCTGTGTGAGTACATGGAATATCACATGCCTTGTTTTATTTTAAGAATAAAACAGTGCATATCTCATCAGTAAAATAAATTATATATACCATTATTTGAGATAAGCATTATCTGTTTTGTACAAAAGTTTCCTTTATTTGGATGTTTAGTACTGATTAACAATTACACACATGTATATTTATTTCTGGGATAAATTTAGATATTTATCAGGATTGCAAAGAAACTGTTCAACTATTACTTTTAAAGCAATACATGCATGACAAATCAAGATGTGCTTAGGATATGACAAAGTTTGATAAATGTGTGTAAGTGTGGTTGATGTACACGTACAAAATGCCTCACTGCATGTAACAAACAAGATTACTTCTAAACCAAAGACATGTGGAACAAATGATATGAAGTAATTCAAGGTGCTTGAATGATGTAAGCAAACATCGGGTAATGGAATGACTGCTCACGTTAGTAATTTGTTGCAAATGATAAATAATTCAGTAAAATCTGTGAAGTATATCAAAAACACAACCCCTCAATAACTGTGTGTATTTTAAATTGTAAATGAGCAAAACCTGATTCAGGTGTTTATGCATGTAAAAAAAAAATTCTACTTCACAGCATTTTTAAATGTAGTAACGAACTACTAACTTCACTGTAATTCTGATTTTTTTCAGGTTTTTTTTTACTAACATATGAAATACTGGTAAAATTGCTTCAAACAAAAGATATTTAAACACAACTTTCTATTAGTCATTAAACTGGTTAGTGTATTTATATGGTTGTTTGAAAGCAACTGTGTTTATAAAGATCACCTAATTTGAATAATATAAGAAATCAGCCCTGTACATAGTACTTTTATGGGATGCAGTCTACATGAAGATTAACTGAAAATGTCAACAAATGATTTCTGGTCTGATTGTCAAAACCATACTTCTCTTACCTATGGAAATTTGACATTTGCTGTAATGTCATGATAAGCAAGTGAAATTAAAATGCATAAATGTTTCATTATAATGTATCAAATTAACATAGGTATTATCATTTATCTCTTTAGCCTTTATTCTTTGAAGGATGAGGGACATTTACAGTACCTAAATAAAAGTTTGTCACAATAAATATATGCTTCATAATAAAAAAAAAATGTACAATTTGAATTTGCTGGTTCATTTTTAAAATTTCTAAGCAAAAACGACAACCACTACAATGTAGCAAAAATATGATTGAGACCAAAAAAATTCTACCCCACATTTCCAAATGTAAATATTGTTGTACAGTGTTAATAACAATACTGAAGCTACTTTAGGTATAATAATTGGCACAAAGTTTTATACAATAATGTCAATTTTAAAATTAACACAGATTGTGTTATAATGCTTATTTCTTTTTCTTTCTTCTATATGCACAATCTGGTTCACATCTTTCCCTACATAAGATAAGCATCCTTGACATACAAACTTAGTCAGTGAAACCTGTATGTACGAAAATATCAAAGTAATGGTAATCTGTTGCTAAAAGAAGAAAATATTGTTAAATATATCTATGTACGAGAAATAACCCACAGTGCCTATCAATACAAAAGATGAAACCTTATTTTTCTAACAGTAATAGTAATGACCTTACCATATTCAACACCTACACAGGTATAGCAAGTTTTTTTCTTTATTATACAGATAAAAATACAAAGTACTTTACACTGACTTTGTTCTCAGCTAATAAAGCAAATTCATCATTCTAAAAAACTGTCTAACAGACAATTATTGAGGCTTTGCTAATCATACAGCAATTATTTATATAAATGTGTAAGTAATCTGTACAAATTTATTAAAATTAGTTGCATTTCACAAAGAAATTTAAGACTAAAAAATTAAAATATTTACATACTAATTACTTAGCTTGTACATCATTATTAACTTGAGTATTCCATGAGGCACATAGCTGCTATTTAAGCTTTAGACTAACCAAAGCATGTGACATACACAGATTGTATAATACTTGTTTTACAGCTGTCCTAGTGACCTCAAAAGAAATAAGCAAACACCTTCCTAAAGAAACACTGTGATGACTACAGCAGATATGTTTTGTTTGACCCAATTGACTTTTAAATGAGGTTATGTTAAGAGTTCACTTGAAAAATATACATACTAACACATATTTTGCAAAACCTACAAACATGTACAATATTTAATTTTTTTCAACTATTAACTAATATCTTTATTGCTTAGTTTACATTTCAAGATGTTATTTGATCTAACTTATATAACTGCTACAAATGATGTACAATGAAATTTTCCATATTCTCTAAAACATTAACAGATAAGAAACAAAAAGGGACAGATACATGAAAAGAACGAAACATTTGGTTAGACTATACCCAAGTAAAAACTATATGCATATGAAGGTTGCACTACAACATGTGACTTGTAAATTATGCAGTGTTTGAATTACATAAACAGCATGACATGTGAATTTCTCTACACAGCACATGAAAACAACTTTAACATACGCAATGAATCAATATACAGAAATAAGTTGTTTCTGGATCAAGTATTATAAAATAATATCTAATGAAATTTAATGTTGCATTTATACATAATATTCAAGTATAAACTTTTTCATATGCACCTCAGATGATACAAATTTCTAGTTATAAATTTTCTATAAAGATAAAATTTTCATCATATATGATTTCACATTTTCTGAACTAGTTCAAGCAAATGTTCAAGTACTTAGTAATTTTGAAAACAAATATATTACTAATTTTAATTTCACATGTTAGAAGGACAAAGCATAAAAAAGTTGATTTAACATGTATGCAATTACAACTCAAGTACAAAATTTCATATCAATAAAATAAATACATGGTAGAGGACACATGCATTATGATAAATGTTTTTACTGTTTATATATCACTCTCAGAAATTTTTACTTTGAAACTATTTGGTCTTTTAGACACAAAATGTGCCACATTTATGGTGAACAAATTGGGTAAATAGCCTGACCTAAGTATAAAAATAATTAAATTTTTCTAATTACATAGATTGTTAAAGCATGTAAGAAGTTTCATTTGAGAACATCACTTATTTGAACCAGTCTTATAGTAAATATTCTCATCCAGAAGTAATTACAATTTGGTTTACTACCAATAATTTCCTATCAATGCATCTCTTTTTTTTACTTTATAAGTTAACATATTTTTTAAATAGGTGAGAGAATTGAAGTTATAAATGTTTCTTGAAAAGGTTTATATTGTGCTTCTTACATTGTATTTTATGGAATTTGTATTCTATAAAGACTTTAAAGAATTTCTTTAAGGTAAAAAATTAACATTTACTTTTATATAATACCATTATTGGGTCTGTAAATAACATTTGTTAATGCAGTCATTGGGGTTTAGGAATTAAAATTTCCTAATAATATTATAATTAAACTAAACCAGCATATTAAATTCATTAAAAATACTTCTTAACTTTAAGTTTTAAATAATGCATAAAATAAATTATCAAAGCTGTCACTAAAATTTTAGGTTTAGTCCAGAAATTCATGTCTAAATTTGTTTGGAGTGAAAAATGAATAAGTTAGTAAAACAACAAACTTCACTGTCTTGATATTTCTTACAAGAACAAACAGAACATTTTTTTATTTCAACTTAATAAGATCCTTTATATCAACAAACATATTCAACACAATTTAACAGCACAAACCACATCATAAGACAAACCATTCCTCTAGATTTTCACTTGCAACTGAAAAAAGAAATTGTCAAAGAACAAACCTCTGTCTAGGATTCCACATCTTTAAACCTACCATCCCTAATAATTAAGCTTGTGTTTCCAACCTTTTTATTCCATCACATTAAAATCTATTTGTTCCTTTCACTACAGTTAAAGTCTTAGCAGAAGATTTAAAGGTTTTATCAATAAACACACCTGAATCCCTTTTCTACTACACCATATTCATAATGCTACTGTTACAAAATGAGCTACTAATCCTTACCGAATTTCTTTAAATTATATAAATAGCTTTAAAACTTCTCATATTAAAATTCATTTTCTACATTTAAGTCCCTTCATTTTGGGTAAGAGAAGCATTCCAACATTTTAGCACCATCAACAAATTTATAAATATTACTTCAATAGTTCTAAAGAAATTATCCAACAGGAGATTCTAAAACAAATCCATGATTTACATTCTTCCACTTGGAAAAATGCCATTAAACTAATTTTCTATCCACTTATTTTTTCATGTATATATACATGTCATTTATGGACAACAGGGGACCTATTGGTCCATCTAGGCTATCCCATCCACTAAATTAAACTCTAAAAACAAAACAGTAAAAAAAAATCATTGACAAATTTATCAAGCCCCTTAAACTCCATTAAATTAACTGCATCCACCACACCTGAAGGCAACCCATTTCAAAGGCCAATCACCCTGTTAGAAAAATAAAGCTTAGCTTAAGATGACTTCTATACTGCCAAAATTTATGTCACCTAATCCTACAGTCTCATGATTAAGTACGATAAAAGATTATGCATCAACACTATCAATTCCCTTACCAATCTGAAACATCTCAATCAGATCCTTTCCAAATCTTCACAGATCTTAACCTGTCCTTATAATACAACCAGGTATCACCCTAATAGCTCTCCTCTGAACACATTACCCCAAATGTGGCCCAACCAATGACCTATACAATTATAATAATATTAAAAGCCAAGTATCAGTCTGTCATGCTTGATTTCTCCAAATTTTGTGAGTTACATGAGTCCAATTCCCCTTTTTCTCCCATAATACTGCCTCTTTTCATTGCCCGTTCCCAATTTAGTTGAATTCAATCACTAACATATGTGTAAATAGCTCCTAAATTTCTGAACTTTTTCTGCTATACAAAAGTCTGCCAAGGAGGGAGATTTTATACCAAGGATTTATTTAGCACCAAGTGAAATTAATTTACTGTTTGTTATGATGAGAAGTTTTGAACGATGGTCGAGTATTTACCAGAAATGTGGTTTTTAAAGAACAATTGGAATAATGCAATTGATGTGATTAGAAAATAACTGTGATCAATGAATGCTGGGACAAGGATCAAAGCTGGGAAGAGACATTCTTTAGGTAAATGAGTTATTGCTCACGATAGGCAGTGATTTTCTGAAGCTAGAAGGCACTATATTTTTCTTATGTCTGTTTATGGGCAACAAAGATGTAAATGCATAACATATTGGAGGATCCAAATTTGGTAGGCTTTGGTTTCCCATCATTTTTGACAAGCATTTATACTAGTGTAATTATAACCTCTTAAGTCTATCAATGCAATAAACATTCAACTTACTAATTTCTCTCTCATGAAGTACCTCTTCAAACAGATTAATTATTATAAGTTTGATACTTTAAGGCTGGTGGTAAACTTTCATTAAAATAAATAAAACTTATGTATTTCATACAACAATGGAAAGTACAAGAATAAATGCATGCTCAAAACATTTTTGTTGATGATGGATGTCAACATAATTACCACAATTAATAAAGTGCTAAGAACTGAAATTATTGAAAATATTCATTACATAAAACTATTAAAATGAATCCTCTCCAAAATGTTGATTACATTTTGTTTTTGTATTCAAGCTTCTATATTATTCATATTACCAATACTTCAAATTTTCCACAATCAGTTTGATTAATTTTTCATTGAACCATAACTAATTTAACATAACTGGTCAATGTACATACCTATAGCCAAGTAAATTTTAAACTGCAACAACTCAATAATTCTTAACTAATTATCAGGGGTGTAATCCTGTGGGTTTGCAAAGGAGTATTGATCTATACTTCATGTGCAGGGAAAGTACTGCTCTCGTATTTCAAATGTAGATAATTTCCTGTGTTGCTTTCTTGTACATTTAAATGTGGATCAGTGGGATTGTAATTATGTCTCTAATATGAAACACTTTATATAAATAAAGTTTTTATCATTAACTGGAACCTCTCTGACTTTGCAGATACTGCTGCTTTACAATAATATACCACAATCAATGATTTCCTGAATTTGTAATTAATTAGTAAACATGAATGCCATATTACAAAATGATAATGAGCTCTTCCATTGGAGGAGGGTAAGAGAGTGAAATCATGGTGACCTTTCTTTCCTAAATTTAGCACTACATCATTGCTAATTATGTTAAGTGACTCTAACAAGTTACACTTACAGTAATTTGTTTACATACACATGATCAATTCCATACTCAAACACTTTGAATACTGTCATCATTATGAATAACAATAAACATAATACCTAATTTGTTACATTTATGTACTTACCTTTCTCTACCAATTTCATGTTACATTAGAGTTTGCACAAAATTCATAGTGCAGAAATAATACAGAAGTACATTATTTCCTAACCTACCTTATATATAACGTACTACTGGTACTACACTGTTCATTTTGATCAGGCGTTACTGTATTACTAACGTGTTCCTTTGTTTAGCTGGGTAAGATATATCGTTGTCTGAATTTAACTGAACTTATATAAGTCATAACTACAACTACAAGCAAGTTACTCTTTCTGTGGTAACAGTGTTTAAAAGATTTGAAATGTTCTAAATCCTTGCATCATAAAATGATTCACTGACGTTATTTCCCTCTAACACTAGTAATATCGCTTCTCAGAATTTCAACAATGATGTAACCGGAATTCCGAATCGGCGTGATGTACTACTACTACTACTACTCAGCTATCATAATTTATTTAGCTCAGGCCTATGCAAAGGTTATATACGTAGGCTACATTGTATAAATTTAAATTGGTGAATGTATTGTAACAATATATTATTTTATGGCGAGTTTTAACATGATAAAAAAAGTACAAGTTATGTACTTTATTTTGATACGTCTGCGTTTAACGTTTGTTCGCCTTCGGTTGTTTTAACGTTTGAGAGGCTAATCCTATTCTCTGTTATTAAGCGCTGGTTTTCAAAAACGAATGACGATGATTTCCAACATGTGTAGGTAACTTTCTTTGTTGGCTTGTGTTGTAAAATAATTTGGAAATGCCCTTTGGATGACTTAATTCCAAAATGTGTTTGCCGATGCTATTGGGATACAGGGTTTCTAAATTCCGATGTTCTTTGTATCTCCGTTGAGACCTCCTGCAGCATTTAAGTTTTACAAATACAAGCCAGCGTTAAACAAAAGAGAACGTGCTTTACTTCTAGAACTTAAAGTTAAACTATATCTCCGATATATATTCAAATAATAAATGATCGGATTGTTTGGTCGATAAGCTACTAATAAGAATAAGTATCAACTCCAAAAGAAATCACGTGTGACATAGAACTTGGGACTTTTTTACTTCACTCTGCTAAGTTCAATGCTACATTACCCACATTAATAAATTTAATCAAACATTAAATTTTAGTTTTACGTACTTAATATATTACAAGAATGAAATTAAAAGTATCAACAATTTGCTACTGATTTTGTAAAATTCACTAAGAAAACGATATTTTTCAGTATTATCTTGTATGCACATTTTTTCAAAACATTCATTTTGTAGGCTAACATTAGTAACAATTATTTTATGTTTATGAAAAGAAAGGAAAAAATGTAATGACAACTTTGAAGGTAAAACAATAATATAAAATCTCTAAATTTTACGGCTACACCGGTGTAACTTGTAAGTTGAAACTGTAAAAATATGATAGAATGGTTAGAGTAAGCTTAACTTTATAGATTATATTTTTATAATATATTTCTTCCCCAATCAAGATTCTTATTCTTAATATTATTATTATTCTTATTATAATAGAATTCTTACTGAATTCAGTAAAAAAATATATCATACCTTGAATACGAGAAATATCTTCATCGTGGCGACGAAGAAGAAAAACGATTACAAGTATCATAGACGATATTACTGACGTAACAATAGCAATTTCCGAATGTTCACCAAGAGATTCAGTCCACACCGCCATGCTGTTTACGCGAGTAGAACAAGCCTCGTGTGTTACAGAAAGCAATAAGAAAAGGTGGAGAGCTATTGCAGTACTCTTTCTTATATGACAAATAAAATTGGTCAACATTTAAAATATTTTTCTAAAACTAATGAAAAATTATTGTGTACATATTTACATTCTGAATTATTTGCATTTCAATATCTTTTTGCTCAAATTAAATGATCATTATTCGCTGAAAATTATTCTTTGAGAAGATACTACACCCTCGGCTTCTTTACTTTTGCACTTCGATAAAATCAAAAGAAGGGAATAGCGACGAACATCTAATTGTTAATGTTCAGTTACTACATTGCACTCCAAGGCTTTTGCTAGTGATATAACTATTACTCAACATCACTTAGTAAGCAAAAGTGACTAACGTCATACAAAACGTTATGTCATCACTAGTTCTAAGACGGCGTTTTATCATTATCGTTACTCATCACTTTTATGAAGAATTAAATAGTGATTTTACTAACGTAAAATTAAGTGGTTAAATTGGAAATCTGGAGCCTTTGTGCTTCCTGGACTTGCAAGCAATTGCAGTTACCACTGTTTTTGTCTACCAAAACTTGACATGGTTGTAGATATCACTTCACCAGAGGTAGCTCATTATTGGATATCAGAACCAGTACACTAATATATTCAACACCCCAATTCCACTAATTTTCGAATATAATCGTATGATGTTCATTGTACTTCTACAAATTTTCGATTGTCCTAAAAGATTGTTTCAGCGCACCTTGGCCAATTGTTCTTTCTTAAAGTTAAAGTGGCTCTTCTTAGCAACTTCTTTAGCTGCGGAAGTTGGGACCGACTCCCCTTTAACCACTAGATAACAAATAAAAATAAAATTAAGAATAAGCTCAAACAGGGGCAACACAAATGTAAATATCTTCATATATTGATTTTCAAATGAACAGTTTGTTTGTTTGTTCTTAAACATAAAGCAACATAATGGGCTGTCTGTGCTCTGTTCACAGTAGATATCGAAACCGATTTTTAACGTTATAAGCCTTCAAACTTATCTCTGAACCATCAAGGGCAAAATGAACAGAAAAGACTTAATTTTCTTATGCAGAATAGTTCTACTGCTTGAGCAACGTTGAACTGCCTTTCGTGAAAATATAAATCGAAATATGTTGTGATGCTATTGAAAGTGCATAGTGTTTGTTATAATAGTGATCTTTTAGGTAGGTCAGTTATTAGAATATTATCCGTATATGTAAGACTTTTTAGGCTTGAGGCTTTCGATACTCCATTCCGCAATACAAGCTTAAAACCTTCGAGTAACAGACGTATACTATGGAATTAGAAAAACTAATCCTATCCATACTAACGATATCTCTTACGGAATTTGATTTGAAATACGTAAATATTTCTTAGTGATTAAATGAAAACTTATAACATGTTTGTAATTCATATACATGCCGAGACTGGATTATTTTTGTTTAAAATTCAGAACAATATTGCATACTCTGTTTCTTTCGTCTATACAGAGTTTATAAAATGTTAAACAACCAGGATCAATTCTGCTGCCTTACACTTAAGTGATCTGCCTAGATTACTCAAGTATGAGTAGAGTACGTAGAGTTCTGAACAAATCTGATGGTCGCGCGGGGAGTCTCAATGACTGCGAGGTTAAACCAAACACCTTTAGTACAAAAGTCATTTTGAGCCGAATGGTCTGATCAGAAATGAAAATCGATCGACTAATCTAATAAGAAACACCAGATCTGACAACTTTTTCAAAACCTGTGTATCAGGAGTAATGATTATACTCCCAGATCCCTACTCAACAGTCTGACGGTACCGGAACTTTAACTGTTTATAAACAAAAGAATATATTCATATACAAAATTTTAACACATAAACACTGCTGTCTGAGATGGGGTTCTGAGGGACGGCAGATCCATTCCCCAAGTATTGTTTATATCTACCCCTCACTAACGCATATGGTGGTGTTGTCCATCCTTCCTTACTCCTAGGCCCGGCATGGCCAAGTGGTTAAGGCGCTCGACTCCCAATCTGAGGGTCGCGGGTTCGAATCCCCGTCACACCGAACATGC